CGGCGGGGAAACCCCCTTCCAAAAAAACCAAAAAAAAAAAAAAAAAAAGCTAGCTGAGTGTGAGCCAGAGACTGAGCTGGCAAGTAGTGTTCCTCTGTGGTTTTTGCTTCAGTTCCTGCCCTAACTTCCCTCCATGATGGACTGTGGCCTGGAACTGTAAGCCAAATGAACCCTTTTCTCCCCTAAATTACTTTTAGTCAGTGTTTTTTGACAGCAACAGAAATCAAACTAGAGCACTATCTGTGGCTTAAAATCAGTTGTCCTTTGGGAGGAAGTTTGTGTGGGCAGACCAGAAGTACTGGAATTGTTGCCTGCTGTCGGCAGTACCCTTTGAACCTTGTCTAAGCTGAGAACAAATCCCCAGTACTGCACTCCTCTGTGGTAACATATGGGATATTTCAGGACGCAGTGACCTTTGAGGATGTGGCTGTGACCTTTACCCTGGAGGAGTGGGCTTTATTGGACGTTTTCCAGAAGAATCTCTACAAAGATGTAATGCAGGAAACCTTTAAGAATCTGGACTTTGTGGGTAAGCCTGATGTCATGACTTCACATCACTATTTCTTTGTCAAGCACTGATTGGGAGTTGGGAAGGGTGCACTGTGGTCAATCAGGCATCATTGTGCCCTGAGCAGCATCTAACGATCGCTTTGTAATTTTTCAGTCGTTCATTGATTTTTTTTTTTTTCTTCCGTGTCTACATTTCAGGAATAAAATGGGAGCACCAAGATCTAAAAGGTCGCTACAGAAATCAAAAGAGAAATCTAAGGTAACTCACATTTACGAAGACTCAGCTGTGTCTCTCTAGAGAATCTTTGGGTGTCAGAAAATTTTAAAGACAGCTCATATTGAGTTTATTTGTTCTTCCAAAATTCCTCTAAGCTTTACAAGTAAATGCTAGGTGCTTACGTGTGCTGTAGATATTTAGTTCACTTAGAAGCAGTATTAAGATACCCCAGATGGGGGCAGAAGGTGGTTCTCAGAATAAAAGCATTTACCACACAATCCTGAGTTTGATTCCCCAAACTCTTGTAAAGGTAGAAAGACAGAACCAACTCCACAAAGTTGTCCTCTGACCTCCACCCACTCATCATATAAATATACACTGTAAAAACATTTTTTAAAAGATACTCCAGATGAATGTTGTTGTTTTAATGCTAGTCATGGGGACTGGAGAGAGCTCAGCAGTCAAACGCACATACCACTCTTCCCAGTACCCAACCACCTATAACTCGAGCTCCTAGAGAATCCAACTCCCTCTTCTGACCTCCCCCAGGTGCTACATTCCTGTGTACAGACACAGACACATAATTTTTAAAAAATAGAAATAAATCTTCAAAATAAAACACTAGCCATGGTCCAGTCACCCTGCAAAAGCTTGAATCCACTCATGTTAAAGCTACTCCAGCCAGGTCTGGTGGCATATGCCTTTAATCCCAGCACTTATGAGGTAGAGCAGGTGGATCTCTTGAGTTTGAGACCACCCCAGTCTACATAAGAGTTTCAGGTCAACCAGGGATACATAATGAGACCCTGTCTCAAAAAATAAAGCTACCCCAAAAGGGCATAAAAGGCTACATTGTCAGTGTTCAAAATGCAAATCCAGTAGCTACTGATAAATATAAATCAAACTCTTAAGGTTGTATTTCCCAATTTTTACAGACTCCAAGTAGTACAGAGACTCTGTGACCATAAGGACAATTGTCAATGTCGAGGAACCTCCAGCCTAAATTCAGGCAATATTGCAAAGAAGCAAACGCCTGGATCAAAGCTTTATAAACACCGTGTCATTGGCCAGTCACCCTTAAAGAGGAAAATTACATCTGACTCAAAACATAGGCCATGTGACTATGAGAAATACCTAAAGAGATATTATGAATGTGAAATATGTGGTAAAGCCTATGCATGCTCCAGCTCCCTTACAAAACATAAAAATATGCACAATGGAGAGAAACCATATAAATGTACGCTGTGTGAGAAAACCTTCGTTTATCGCTATTGTGTAGAAAGGCACATGCTAACTCATGGTCCACCCAAGACTTATAAATGTAAGGTATGTAAAAAGGTATTTTCTTCTTCCAAGTCCCTTCGAGAGCATAGAGCATGTCACTCTGGAGAGCTGCCCAAATGTAAGGAATGTGGGAAACTATTCTGGACTTCCAGTTCCCTTCACATGCATAAAAGGCTTCATACAAGAGAAAAACTGTACGAATGTAAGTACTGTAGGAAAGCCTTTGGGAGTTACTGCTCTGTCACCTTACATGAAAGGGCTCACACTGGAGAGAAACCTTATAAATGTAAACAGTGTGGGAAAACCTTCAGACATTCCAGCCACGTTCAAGCACACGAGAGAATTCACACTGGAGAGAAGCCCTATGAATGTAAGACGTGTGGGAAGACGTTCACTAATGGCCACTGTGCTAGAAGACACTTGGCAACGCACAGTGGAGACTGGCCTTACAAATGTGACGTGTGTGGCAAAGCCTATCTTTATGTTTATTCCCTTCGAAACCACAAAAAATGCCACACCGAAGAGAAACCCTATAAATGTAAGCAATGTGGGAAAACGTTTAAATGTTCTGCTTCCATTCGAAACCATGAGACCACTCACACTGGAGAGAAACCATATGAGTGTAAAGTGTGTGGGAAAGCCTTCAGTTGTTCCAGTTACATTCAAAATCACATGAGAACACACAACGGACAGCCCTATAAATGTGAAAAATGTGGGAGAGCATTCTCATATTCCAAAAGTCTTCGAAGACACATGAAAAAACACAGTTGATTAGAGATGGATGATCCTAGTAAATGTAAGTGATAGAGAATAGTAGCCTTTGCACATTCCAGCTCTTCAGATGAATTTGAAAAAAGAATCACAGTGGAGAATAAGCCTATGGATATAATATGTGTGGAAAAGCCTTCAATCATTTCAGTCACAAGTACTTGCAACAATTCGATGTACTGAAACCCTGTGAGTTTAAAGAATGCTGGGAAACATTCTGTCAGTTCCTTTCAGTGTCTGAGGGTCCCCACTGGAGAAAAGTACTACACAGGGGACATGGACACTTTTCCATACCACCTTTTTTTTTTTTAAAGAATGTCTTTTAATTCATACATGTACATAGTGTATCTTGATCATATCCATCCCAAGGTCACCCAAGACCCTCCTCAACAATCTTTTTTTTTTTAATGTGTATGTGTGTATTGTCTGCATGTAGGTAAGTACACCCATGTCCTGCAATGCCCTTGGAGGTCAGAAGAGGCTGTGGGGTGCCCTGGGACTGGAGTTACAGTTTTTAGCTGCCATGTGGGTGCTGGAATTCAAACCCGGATCTTCTGCAAGAACAGTCAGTGTTCTTAACCGCTGAGCCATCTCTCCAGCCCCTTCTCTTTTTAAGTGACTCTGCCACAATGTTGGTTTGATCCTATGCAGGTAACCACAGCTGCTCTGAATTCATGGATGCAACATCCATGTCATGTCTAGAAGACATTTCACAGCACTCCTCATCATCCATCTCTTACTTTTTTTTTTTTTGAGACAGGGTCTCCTTGTAGCTCCAGCTGGCCTAGAACTCGCTATCTAGACCAGGCTGGCCTTGAACTCACAGAGGTCGACCTGCCTTTGCCTCCCAATCTCTTACATTCTTTAAGCAAGGGTGTATGAGAGTTTTTAAGATTATTTTGCTGTTTTTTTTTTAACTTGAAGGACAGTTATGCTGTGGTGCTCAGGTTGTGTCTGAACCTACTGTGTTCAGTCAGGATTCTTGCCTCTCCAATATAAGTGGGGCCACAGGTGCCCACCGCCATGCCTGGGCAGTGCATAAGTTTAATACAAGTGTTTTCTTTTGCCAAGAAATTTTACTTGTTCCATTTTAACAGAATTATATTCATGCATAAGTTGAAATGTAGTTCAAGAGCCAGCAAGATGCTCAGCAGATAACTTAGGTTCAATTCCCAGATCCCACATGGTGGAAGGAATGCTCCAACTCCTGCAAGTTTTCCTCTGACTTCCACACACATACCATAATGCATGTGCATATTAGTTAATTAACTAATTAATTAGATGTAAAATGAAACTTTAATGAAAAGCAGTTCAAATATGTGTAGGTTTAATCAACATAATTTTTAAATAACTGATTTATGGGCTAGTGAAAAATGACTGTAAATGTTTTCAATTTTGTTGTAAGCCTCAACTGGCTGGTTGTGGCTTCCTTCATCCCTTATTTTGTATATTCCAACCTTTGTCTCCTAATGAAAATATTATCCTTTTTTTCTTTTTGGCATGTTTACTGAAAAATAGTATCACTTTGTACATTTGTCATGTTTCTCATAATGTCTCAATGTAAATTCTAACTGTCCTCGGGACTTAATTGTGTCTGTGTGGGTACATGCATGTGAGTGCAGCTGCCCTTGGAGGCCAGAAGAGGGCGTCAGGTCCCTAGGAGCTAGAGTTACAGGTGACTGTGAGCTGTCCAGTATGGGTGCTGGAAGCTGAACTCTGGTCCCCTGCAGGACCAGCAGGTGCTGAACCATCTCCAGCCCCTTTGTCATCTGTTTTGGGGAAATTTTTTCACCTAGCAGTAGTCATGCCTCAAATAACCTCATAGCCTCCAATACCGCCACTATGCAGAGCTGTGTTATTTACTTTGCTTTGAACGTTGACCCTCATACTTACCTGGCAGGGGAGACGCCATGATCAAGAAGGTGGTATTCCCATAGATGAGACGATATATGCTGACCCTGCAATTTCCCCAAATGTGAGAAACTCAACTGCTTAATTTGTGGTGTGGTGGACTGAGTCCTTTAAAAGGAAAACTGACTTTCAATAGGCTTGTTGCTAAGCAATGTAGTGACTGAGTCGCATGTTTAAGGCCCTGAGTGCCATTTCAGTGCTATTCCCCGGCAGTGAGAAAGTAAGTAAATGTGTGACTTTCAGTTAAGATAGCACTGCAATACAATTCAGAGTGGGAGATGAATGTCTTGGTTGAGTTCAGTGTGGGAAATCCAGAACCCTTTCCCTTGATAGTTCCATGTTAGAGTTTGCTAGGGGCTTAACTTAAGACAGTATGAGGAAGACATTTGTCGTGTTTGAGCCTCAGAGTGCCTAGAGACTGCCAGGTAGACCTGGCCGTCCCAATACCATTTTCCAATTCTTTTTGTGTATGAGTGTGGGGGTCTCAGGACAGTTTGTGGGAGTCAGTTCTCTGCTTCCACTGTGTGGCTGCCTGAGATGAAGTTTGGGCTTAGCCAAAGTGCCTTTCCCTGCTGAGCCATCTTACCAGTCCAACTTTTCTCAACCTAGGACATCTTCATTTCCATCTTAAGAATTAAAATACTTTTGGGAGGCAGGCAGATCTCTGAGATCAACATTAGCCTCGTATACATAGTGATTTCCAGGCCAGCCTGGGCTGCAGGGAGACCCTATCTCAAAAAGACACCCCCCCCAAAAAAAAGACAATATTTAACATACTAAATCCCTGTGAAAGGTTAAATGCCACCCCCTTACCACACCAGGGTCCCATGTGTTGTCAAAGAAGGTGTATAAAGTTGAATGTAGGTATTCACACACACAGGCAAACTTGGGTCCAAAAAATATAAAGTTTTTTTTTTTTCTCCTAGAGAGAGGAAAATGCATCCTTGGTTTAGTCCTTGTGTACTGAGGCTGGCTCCAGTGTTTGGATCTGCTTTTGCTCTTCTGACTCATCTAGGTTGGCTTTGGAGCATGTGTGCATGTATGCTTGAGTAATGCATGCAATTGAGTGTACGTGTTCATGCATGCAGAGGCCAAAGTGGGATGGCATGTGTCTTCCTCTGTCGTGCCCCACATTACTGTCCTGAGACAGGATCTTGCTGTACCAAAAGCTCACGGGTTTTTAGATTAGGCTGCTGGTCAGCTAGCTCTTGAGATCCATCTTTCTCCAACCCCCAATGCCACAGGCCCATGTAGCTGTGTCAGCTCTTATGTGAGTCCTAGAGATTCAAACTCAAGTCCTTGTGCTTGCTCAGCAAGTGCTTTTATCCAGTAAGCCATCCCTCCAGCCTGCTTACTCATTATCTAAATGCTTAAAGAACTAGAGAGGTGGCTCAGCGGATAAAGGTGCTGCCACCAAGCCAGAGTTCAAACTCTAGGACCCACATGGTGGAAGGAGAGAACCAACTCCTGCAAGTCGTTTTCTGACCTCCACACATGCACAGTAAGTAAAGAGTATTGAAGTAGCAGGAACCATTTCTGTGTTCTACCAGAATCCAGTGCGTGTTATTCCTTTGACACACAGACTAACGGGCTTTCTTTTCAATCCCATTGAGCACTGGTGCAATAGGAGTTAGACAGCCACTCAGTGCGTTTCTCATCTCTCACAGACCCACTTTGAAAAAGTGATCTTGTTTTAAATTCTTTTGTGAACTGAAAATTTTTCCCCTTCTGTTCAAAACTGTCAAATAATTCTATCATAATGGTATTTAATATGTAAATTGTATTGCTGTGCATCAAGTATGATTTTAAAAATTAAAGTAAAATAAATGCTGAAATATTTCTTAGTTTGCTTTTCCAAAATATCTTCAAATGAGATTCAACTTACTTAATTTGCAGAATAAAAAGCTAGCAAGGTGCACACCACTAATGTATGTGCCTGCGGGTGTACTAGTGTCCATGGCTTCCAGAAGACAGTGCTGGTGTATACAGTGAGCGACAGTACACACCCCACTAAAGGAGGAATACTAACCATCTGAGATGGAAGTATGTTCACCAACAAAACACTAACCTGAGGTTGCATTTCCCCATGAGCAGGCTGGTACCTGCATCAGTCCACAGTTCTTTCCTGGTTGAAAGCACCTCTGGGTGTTAGAGGGTGATTACCCTAGGAGTGACTATGGAAGGAGCAGACCATCTTTTTAAGATTTGCATATGTGACACGTGAATGCAGTACCCATGGAAGCCAGTAGAGGGCAGAATATCTCCTGCATCTGGCGTTACAGGCTGTTGTGAGCCACCAAACATGGGTGCTGGGGATCAAACTCAGATCCTCTGCAAAGAGCAGTATGTGCTTCTAACCACTGAGCCATCTCTACTGCCCCCTTAGGACGTTTTTAACATTACATTTTATTTATTCTGTGTGAATGTGTGTGCGTGTGTGTGAATGTATGTGAGTGTGTGAATGTGTGTGTGTGCGCCACGGCATAGATGTGGAGGTTAGAGGACAACTTGCAGGAGGAGTTGGTTCTCTTTCCACCATGGGGGTCCCAGGGGTCGAATCAGGTTGTCAGGCTTGGTGGCATCTTTACCTACTAAGCCACCTCACTGGCCCAACTTTAGCAATTTCATCCACTGCCCCTTCTTGTATGTATATGTGGCATGTGTCTGTGTATGCATACACATGTGTTTGTGTGGAGGCCCAAAGCTGACACCCGGTGTTTTCCTCAATGATTCTCCACTTTATTCACTGAGGCAGAGTCACCGAACCCGGAGCTCACCAATTCCAGCTAATCTAGCCAGTCAGCTTGTCCCAAGGATCCTGTCTCTACCTCCCAAACACTTCATCACTAGCAGGTGCCAAACTCTGGCTTTTTTGTAGATTCTGGGGATCTGAACTCTGGTCCTCATGCTTACACAGTGAGCTCTTCATCCACTGAGCCATGTCCCATGCCCTAGCCTTTAGCATTTTTAGGAATATGCTAATGGTGGGAAAGGGATAGGCAGTTTCACATCCTGTAAAAGATGGCTGCAGCTTTGTGTTCCAGTGACCCACAAAGCCCCCAAGTCCATTTGTCACCTATGGGTATTGTCCCCCAACCCCTGCTGAGGACCGAACCCAGGGCCTTGCGCTTGCTAGGCAAACATTCCTAACACTGAGCTAGATCCTCACCCCCTCAGGTATTGTTTCCATGTTCTTAGATTTCCATTCTGTGCTACGGTAGAGAAAGAAGGAAAGAAACAATTTGTTTCATTAAAAAGAATGAATCCTGGGTTAGAGATGGCTCAGCAGTTAGGGATGTTGGGGATAAGAGGAAACCAGGAGATGTGGGAAGCAGGCTGATTTAGGCTGCAGCCTTGGCCCCAGAGACGCCCCTTTCTCAACATTCTGAGCCCCAAAGGGAACTAGCACATAATCTTTTATATCTTGGGCACTGGGTTATAGTGAGAAGGAAACTTGCATATTGATTGTCAGTACAGTCTCAAAATTAGGCAAATTATTATAAATTTAGAAAGAAAACAAATGTTACCAAAAAAAAAAAAATCCTGTCTGAAAATCATTGCAGGAGCCTCCACCTGAGACAAACAGAATTGAAGAAGTTTCGTCATGTCACAAGGCCAGTGGTTCCAGCTGTGTTAGTGTTCTAACCACAGACTTGTCAGCTGAAATGTGCTGACAGAGACAGAGGGAGAAAACAAGGATTAAAATCCCTATTTTCTTTATTCCATTTAGTTACATCAGGAGTACTTGCTACTCATATAGGAACTGAGTTCAGTCCCCAGCACCCATGTCAGGTGGTTGTAAATCACCTGTAACTTCAGCTCCAGGGGATCCAATGCCCTCTTCAGACATCTGCTGGCCTGTTCTTCTAGAAGCTTCTGTCTGTGGTGGACAGCTGTAACTGCAGAGACACAGAGCAGTTCAAACTGCTCAGAGTCAGGACTGCAGAGTGCTCAGCCCTAGATAGGACATCATCTCTCACACACACTAAGGCTCAGAACATCCCAGAAGAGGGGGGAGAAGAACGGACGAGCAAGAGGATGGGGGGGGGTGATGTGGCCACTGCATTCATGAACTCTGCAGCGAGGGCAGCCAACACATCAGTCAGCAACTGTGGGCCTCAGTGGGTTACAAAACTAAAGGACATGAAGGGGTCAAGGGACTGAAATGGGGAGAGGACATGCTGGAGTGTGTAGGGAGAATGGGGGTTGGGGGTTGGTAGGATCAAGATACATTGTATATATGTATGAAATTGCCAAAAAATAAAGATGTTCTATTCAAAAATACGGGAAAAAAGAAAAAAGTGGGGGCTGGAGATAGCTCAGCAGTTAAGAACACTGCTCTTGCAGAGGACCTGGGTTCTGTTCCCAACATTCACGTGGTGGCTAAGAACCATCCATAACTCCAGTTCCAGGGCATCTGACACCATCGTCTGGCCTCTGTGGGCACTGCACAACATGGGTTCACTAACATATATACAGGCAAAAATACTCATACATGTAAAAAAAATTTTTTTTAAGTTAAAGGTTAATATTAAAAAGTCTTCTGAAAATGGATTAGCCACTACCTAATGGGAAACAGAGGAAGGAGTCCTCGAGTTTTGGTCAAGTCTTGGTCAGCTCTTTGCTAACAAGGAGTCAGGATAGTTTGTAAACAGTAAGATCATAAAAATGAGCAGCCTCAGTACCTAAAGCCTGTGCAAGAGGCTATCTCCTTCTCAGAGGGGGTCCAGCCATGCTGGCTATCACACAGAGGATATGCCATGCCTGGAACATCAGAGGCTGTGGTTGAGTCAAAGTAAGAGCAAAGACTGGACATCTGCTCTGATGGCTTCACAGTGGACAGAGGAGACAGGAGCATGGGGAAGGGGAGGTAGGAGTGACAAGAGCTGGGCAGGCTGGGAGGAGGGCACCCTGGGGGTGCAGGCTGCCAGGGAATGGCATGTGCAAAGTGCCTGATGTGGGGCGACGGCCAATTCAAAAAAAGCAGCACAGAGGGCTCAGACAGTGAGGAAGAGGGAGTGACTCAGGCCTCAAAGATAAATAAATCATCCCTGTGACGCAGCCACCCTCTCCTGGGCACACACCAAAGGACTCCATGTCCTACCACAGAGATACTTGTTTGACCATGTTCATTGCTGCTCTAGTAACAACAGCAGGTGTAGTGGTTTGAATGAGAAATGTCCCACAGGCTCACCATTTGAACATCTGGTCCCCAGCTGGTGGCACTGTTTCGGGAGGTTTAGTTCCTGGAGGAAGCATGTCACTGGAGGTGGGCTTTTCAAGTTCATAGCGTCGCCCTGTTAAACACAGGTGAGATTACAGATCACCACCACATGCAGAAGCCAAGTAAAAGGGGTCCTTTATTGATAAATGATAAGCACTGGACTTAGAGTGACTAGCACCTTTGAAATTCTCTCAGCACCGAAGCTCCAGGGTACAGAGTTTATAAAGGCAAAAATCATAGCAGTTTGGGCCAGATGGAGGTCAGTGAGACCTTGCTATGGTAGTTATTTTGGTTAGACTTTAGGGGTTGTTTTGCTTATGCTGCTAGGCCGTAGTCAGGGTCCTAAAAAGCTCTGAATGTGTTGCTGGGGAGGCGAGTGGCTGGAAGAATGCCAAAGCAGGCACACCTGGGGTCAGGACCGCCCAGGACTAAGTGGAGGTTTTCTGCTACCTCACGCCACACTTGCAGTTCCATCTGCTTCATGTTTGCAGTGGAAGTTGTGATCTCTCAGCTTCCTGCTTGGCTGCCTGCCACCAGCCCCCGCACTGTGATGGGCTCTTCCTCTGGAACTGTAAACCAAAACAAACTCTTCCTCCTTAAGTTGCTCTTGATCGTGATGTTTTATCCCAGTGACAGAAAAGTAGCTGATACAGCAAGCAAACAGAAACAGCCTAGGTGCCCACCAACTGATGGGCGGATCGTAAACATACAGTACATATACACAGTGGAATATTACTCAGATGTAAAGAAAAACGAAATTATATTATTTACAGGAAAATGGATGCAACTGGAAAATATTATACTGAGAAAGGTGACCAAGGTGCAGAAAGACAAATTGCAACTTCTCTCTCAGATGCAAATTTTAGTGTCTAATTTTTTATATGTGTAAATCTACATAAGAGCAAGGGAAAGTAGGTGCCAGGACACTCGAAAGGAGCCCATCAGAGAACAGAAAGTTACTTTCAGAAGAAATTGACCCTCTAAGTAGATCTTAGTAAATGTTGTCTGTGTGTTGAATTTAAAACACAGAAAGTCATGATTGATTGTTTTATCATCTGACTTTTTTAAAAATATTGTTTATTTTATTATGGGTGTATTGCTTGCACGTAGGTAGGTGCACCCGTGTCATGCAGTGCCCGCAGAGGTCAGAAGAGGGTGTCAGATCCCCTGGAACTGAAGTTACAGATGGTTGTTAGCCACCATGTGGGGGCTGGGAATCGAACCCAGGTCCTCTGCAAAAGCAGTCAGTGTTCTTATCCACTCAGCCATCTCTCCAGCCCAGCATCTGGCTTTTTATGAGACATTCTAAATTCATGATAATAGGGCCATTAATATGGCTCAGCAGATAAAGGTGCTTCCTGCGAAGCCTGATAAACCAGAGTTCAATTCCTGGGACCCACATGTGGGAAGAAGAAAACAGAGTCCTCAAAGTTGATATCTGACCTCCACACATGCGCCATGGTGCACACACACTCTCTCTCTCTCTCTCTCTCTCTCTCTCTCTCTCTCTCTCTCTATATATATATATATATATATATATATATATATATATATA